GAGTGCTACTCTCCACCCTCCCCTGGCAATCTGCAGTGCTGCTCCCTCCTCTCCCACGTATAATTCTGCAGCTCCCCACACAACACACACACACACACACCACACACCACATACCACACACCACACACCACACACCGCACACAACACATCACACAACACACACTCACAACACACAACACACACCACACACCACATAACACACAACACGTAACACAACACGTAACACACAGCACACACAACACCCAACACACAACACACAATACATAACACACACACACACACACACCACACCACACGCAACACACAACACACAACACGCAACACACAAACAACACACGCAACACACATAACACACAACACACAACACACGCAACACACACACACACACAACACACGACACGCAACACACAGCACAGCACACAACACACACAACACGACGCGCAACAGCACAGAACACATACATACACTCATTCACTCACACACGCACTCTCACACGCACGCACAAGTTGCTCCTACGTGTGTCTCAAGGGTGTTCCCGCTGCATCGTCGGCCGCACTTCTGGGTCCGGTTCCTTCTTCGCTGCTGTCTCCCATCCCCCCCACTCCCCTTTCCACTGGTCCTCCTGCTTCTCCTGCTTCTCCTGCTCCGCCGTCCTCATCCTCCTCCAGCTCATCCGCCTCCTCTTCCTGTTCTTCCAGTGTGTAAAGCTCCCCCTTCTCTAAATGCGCAGCAAATGGTGAATCAAAGCGTGGAGACGACAGATGACCTACGCTAGGTACATCCGGCGCCGTATCTGACATTCTACCCCGCCATGTATTGTTCCACCCCCTCTTACTGTCATGCTAATCTTACTCGTCCTCCTCCCTCGCCTTCCTCCTTCTCCGACTACTACGACTACTGTTATTGCAATTGTTGTTGCTATCACTGATGCTACTGGGGGTAGTATGTTACTGCTTCTGCGGCTGCTGTTACTGTTGCTGCGGACGCCTGCAGCTACTACAATGACTATTGCTGATGCTGCTGCTACTGCTGTTCCTACCCGTCCTCCTCCTCCTCCCCCTCGCCTCCTCCCCCTCCTCGCTGGGCCAGGAGTGTGAGAGGAAGCTGAGCACCTCAGGAGCAAGTACGCTCGCTCGCCTCCGTGCTGGCCACCAACCTCATTACAGAAAGAATCCCGAGGGTGACGATTCGGTGGCTCCTGCGCGGGCGCCGCCCAAGTCGGTGCTCCTTGCCCCTCCAGGCACCCGTGCTGCAGGTTCCTCGCGCTTGGTCGAGTCGGACCGATTGCGAGAGTTAGCAGCCCGAATTCGGGCCAATGAGGAGGCATGCAGGCGTTGCTGATGATGAAGCTGGATGTTCTGCTGCCAGGCCGTCCCGACCCTCCTCCTCCTCCTCCTCCTGCTCCTCCTCTCTTCCCTCCTCCCCTCCTCCTCTCCTCCTCCTCCTCCTCCTCCTCTCCTCTCCTCCTCCTCTCCTCCTCCTCCTCCCCTCCTCCTCCTCCTCCTCCTCCTCCTCCTCCTCCTCCTCCTCCTCCTCCTCCTCCTCCTCCTCCTCTTCCTCCGCCCTCTTCCTCCCCCCTCCCCCCATTCCCCCGTCCGCCCCCCGCGGCCCCCCCGGAGGGGGAGGGCAGGCCGAGCGTGGAGACGCCACCCGATCTGCGCCACCTCCCATGCCGACGCTGCTGCGCATGGTGAGCGGCAACCTCGGGGCGAAGGGCAGCGAGGCCGAGGACGCCTGGGGCGGCACGCAGGGGGTGCCCCACCTGCGAGGCAAGGGGGAGGGGGAGGGGGAGAAGGAGGGGGAGGGAGAGTGGACATGGGAATGGGCGGCGGAGGGGGGAGGAAGAGGAGGAGGAGGAGGAGGAGGAGGAGGAGGAGGAGGAGGAGAAAGAGGGGAGGAGGAGGAGGAGGAGGAGAAGGAGGAGGAGGAGGAGGAGCAGCAGCAGCGGCAGCAGGGGGGCGGGAGGAGGAGGAGGAGGAGGACGACGACGAGCAGGCATCGCGGGCTGTGTCTGGGCGCCCTCGCCACTCTATCGTTATCTTCCTCATCCCCCGCTCTCTCTCTCTCTCTCTGTCTCCCTCTCTCTATATCCACCTTTCTCCTTTGATATCAAATATGCATGCAACTGTCTATGTATCCGGGACCTGTGACGCAGAGGATTCCTCCTCATGTTCGTGGTTTCTCATCCCTTTTTCCTCCCCATCCACTCCTCCTGTTTTTCCTACTCCGCCTCCTCATCCTCTTGCCTCCTCCTCGTTCCTCCTCCTCCTCCTCCTCCTCTCCACCATCATCAGCATCATCATTATCAGCAGCATCATCATCTGCATCATCATCATCATCATCATCATCATCATCATCATCATCACCACCAACATCATCACCATCATCGTTATCGTCATCATCGTCGTCATCGTCAACATCATGCCCATCATACTCATAATCGTCACCAGTATCAGCAGCATCATCAGCAGCACCATCATAATCATTCCAATCAGCATCATCATCCATCATCATCGTCATCATCATCATCATCATCATCATCATCAGCATCATCATCATCAGCATCATCATCATCATCATCGTCATCATCGTCATCGTCATCGTCATCGTCATCAACATCATCTTCGTCGTCGTCAGCATCAACATCATCATCAGTAGCATTGCCATCGTCATCATCACTATCATCGCCATCATCATCATCATCATCATCATCATCATCATCATCATCGTCATCAGCATCATCATCATCATCATCATCATCATCATCATCGTCATCATCATTATCATTATCATCAGCATCATCATCATCATCGCCATCATCATCAGCATCATCATCATTATTATTATTATTATCATTATCAGCATTACCATCATCGTCATAATACCACTAGCATCATCTCCATCATCATTAGCATCAGTATCATCGTCAGCATCATCATCATCAGCATCAGCATCACGAGCATCATCACCGTCATCAGCATCGTTTTTTTATCATCATCCCTGTTCTTCTCACCTCCTCTGTGATGAGGACGATAAGGCCGAGGAGGAGCAAGAGCGGGAGGAAGAGGAGGAGCGAGAGGGGGAGGAGGGGCTCACGGACATACTGGGTGGGACGAGCGAGGGTGCCTCGTGCTTCTTCCGGCGCTCCGCCTGCCGCCCAGCGGCGCCGCGGCTCCCTTGCAGGGCACGGCCGCCGCCAAGGAGACGACGGACGAGTCGGAGGAGGACCAGCGGCCTGGGGCGCGCGCGCGCGCGCGGGCAGAGGCGGAGCGCTGCGGTTGGAGGGCGGGGCGGGCGGAGGGGAGCCTCGTTCCTCTCTCGGGCGGCGAGAGTTACACCATGCATGCGCGCGCTGGCCCCGTGGCCAGGTGCGCCCTGGGCCCAGGGATGGGCCAGGCCGTGGCCTGCGCGCCGCAGGCCGCCTGGCGCCCTCCCACCCCTCCCCGGCGCCCACAGCAGGAGCGGGGACTGCTCCCAGGGGGGCAGCACGTGCCCGCACCGCTTCGTTCTCGAGCGCCGTCCAGCTGCTGGGGGGGAGTGGCAGCCCCAGGGCGCGTGCGGTGCTTCCCCCGTGGGTTCGGCGTGCCTCTGTTGCGGCCGCCGGGCTTCCTCCCCCACTTGCTCCTGTCCCCCCTTGCCTCCTCCCCAAGTTGCTGCCCCCACCCCGCCCTCCCAGGGGGGAGCAGGAGGAAAGAGGAGGAGGAAGGAGGGAGGAGGAAGGAGGAAGGAGGATGCGCGAGGAAGTGGGAGAAAGGAGGGGGAGGGAGGAAGGGAGGATGGAGGAACGAGGGAAGATGAGGTAGGAGGGGGGAGGAGGAGGAGGAGGAGGAGGAGGAGGAGAAGAAGAAGAAGAAGAAGAAGAAATGAGCCGTTCTAGCTCTTAAGTCTTCGGGCGAGGAGCTTGCAACAGCGAACTTCAGAACGGCATTGCTGTTGCGGGCCAAATTGGCTCGCCAGTCTGTTGTTTCATCCGCTCACAATCCACGATCGAATCCGAAACTTCTTGTGGATGGGCCCACCTCGTCGCGATGGTGGCAGCTGGGGCAGGAGTGCGGGACACCCCCAGAACAAAGACGCCGCTTGATCTTCGGCCTCTTAAAGCGTGGGGTGAACTCATTACCAAGAACTAGATCGACCCCGGCAGCCCCATCAAGAGGAGGTGAGGTGTTGTGCGTGCCCACAGCTTGCCCTCAACTGTGTTATGTCTCGACTGCTGATTTCACGTCGTGGGATCACGCAGTTAAAGGCTTAAAGCTTGAAATAAGGAGGAGGAGGAGGAGGAGGAGGAGGAGGAGGAGGAGGAGGAGGAGGAGGAGGAGGAGAGGAAAGGAAAGAGCGGGTATGGGGAGGGAGGGAGGGAGGGGAGAAGGACGGAGGGAGGAGGGAGGATGGAGGAAAGAGGAGGACGCAGGATTGAAGAGGACACGAGGAGGAACCCCCGCGAGATGTGCATCCCCACCTTTGAGTGCGCACCGCCACTCGGACCTGCCCCCACCCCCCACCTTGGATGGCAGAGCGAGGACGAGGGCGCGGAGGACGACGAGCAGAGCTCCAGGGCCGAGGCGAAAAAGGCCCTTCATCCACCCCCCCGCGCGGCGCGCGTCCCTAGCGGAAGGAGGAGAGGAGGTGGAGGAGCACGAGTGGAAAAAGGCTAAGGATGAGGAGTATGAGGAGCAGGCGCAGGAGAAGTAGGAGGAGGAGGAGGAGGAGGACGAGGAAGGAGGAAGGAGGAAGGAGGAAGGAGGAGGCGGAGGAGGAGGAGGAGGAGGAGGAGGAGTAGGGGGGGGGGAGGAGGAGGAGGAGGAGGAGGCGGAGGAGGAAGAGAAGAAGGAGGGGAGAGGGGAGGAGGAGGGGGAGGAGGAGGCGGAGAGGAGCAGCAGGAGGCGGAGGAGGAGGAGGAGGGCGGAGGGAGGGAGTAGGAGGATAAGGCGGAGGAGGAGGAGGAGGAGGGAATAGGAGGAGGAGGAGGAGGAGGAGGAGGAGGAGCCACGAGGAGGAGG